TAAGTATTGTTGCGAAATCTTTCATTAACTCTAGACAGTACAACTGGGGTCATAAACCACACCAAGGGAAATTCAAACTGCGGCCCTATATTTGTAAGTTGATCAGGTGATAGGCGCAGCGCCCTTACCGTAATTCAAATGATTTAACTAACTTGATTTTGACTATTGCGGCAATTATTTACGTCAAATTTAACTTGCAGTGTATAATTAAAAATTGTTGGGTGTAAAAACTGCCCCAGTTGTACTTCTACGTTCGAGATTTTACAGATGAGAAAAAAAATTTTTTAATAATTGAATAATGCGGCATTTAAATTGCATTGGCTCAAATTTTACTGTCTTTTTGTACTCTACGAAAAAGGGCTCAATGATTTTTTCAAATTTTTTTATCCAGCCCTTTACGAGATATGAATTTTTCAAAATTTACTTTTTTAAAAAGAAAATTTTATTTGATTGCTCACAACTTTTATAAAAATTGATCAATTGTAATGTTGCTTATATGAAAATTTTCATTTTTTAGATGAATTTTTCAAAAATTTAATGCAAAAAATTACAGAAAACTCATTTAATTATTTACCTTCTTCTTTCTTACTCATATTTTTAAGTAAATAATAATAAATATTAAACAATTATTTTATTTCGTTCTACTATTATCATTCTGAATGTATCACTTTTTTTCAATTAGGCCGCAATGAATTCATTCAAAACATTATGGTCTGACTCATAAATAAAATTAAATAAATAAAATTAGACTTTATAGTATTTGCAAAATATCACAAAATTTTATAAATAAATAATATATTTTTTATAGGACAGATCTCCAATATTCGATGGCAATGACCTTACAAAAGAAGAATCTCATCTCCTAATTTTATGTCAGGCTCTTCGTCACAATTTACCAGATGTTGCTTTAGAATCCTCTATAAATTTAGTAGATTTGCACCTTCCGTATGTTGTTCATGGGAGCAAATACAATTTCTTAAAGTCTTGTCCAGAACAAAACGTTATAACTTATTATTTTTGTCCAACATGTCAGATTACTATTGATTTTTCAAATATAAACCGAGCAGAATGTAATAGTTGCAAAAAACAATACAAAAAGTCAAAATTAAAGAAAGACAGGAACCACTTTTTCTATTTACCATTAGAGCCTCAGTTACAACAATTAGTTAATAGTAAAAATTACTTGCAATTTAGAAACCATTGCGACGAAAATGATATTGTAAACAGTAAAGAATATAAACGTTTGGTCGAAAAAAATGTTATTTCCGGAAATGATATAACGATTCAGTGGAACACTGATGGTGTAAGTGTATCCAATTCGTCCATTCGATCTATATGGCCAATTTTAGTAATGGTAAACGAATTGCCCTATCGATCAAGAAAAGATAATATGCTTCTATGTGGTTTGTGGTTCAGCAATAAGAAACCACCAATGAATCTTTTTCTTGTCCCTTTTAAAAATGAATTGACTCATTTACATGTTAATGGTTTTATATCAACAACTTTTCTTCATAACGAACCTATATTAATTAAAGTTCACAGTCTATGTGCTCCCGTAGATTCAGTTGCACGTCCCGTTATACAAAATGTCAAACAGTATAATGGAAAAAATAACTGAAGCTGAATTTATTAAAGCTAAAGAAGCACTTCGGACGTTTGTTTGCAACATTGAAATCCTTTACGGCAAAGAATATATGAAATTTAATGTTCATATTTTGTTACACATTGCAAAAGCAATTCTCAGTTTCGGTGCTCTTTGGTCTTGGTCAACCTTTCCTTTTGAACACTACAACGGCATTTTAAAAAAATTATTTCACGGAACGCAATACATACCCGAGCAAATTTGCAAGTTTTATTCCCGTTTAAGTTATATAAAATCTGCTTCCGAAATATTTTCTAAAGAAAATTGTAGCGAGAGGGGGAAACAATTATTCCGCAAGTTGATGAAAGAATGTGGAATTAAAAGATGCATTTATTACGAGGATTTCCTGAGAATTTTTGGAACTCCGCGAGATGTTAACTTAACTTTAACACAAAAATTTGTAATAGAAGAATTACTTCAAGGAACAATCGATGTTAAAGCTCAATCATTTACACGTTTTATATGTAAAAATATACTGTACCACACGTCTGCTGATACCAGAGTAATGAAGAGAAACAATATAACTATTGAGACAGTAGACGGTCGTTTTATGAGCATTTCTAATCTTTTAATTGTAAAATTAACTGAAAGTGAAGAATATAAACACGTTTTGCTTGGCAAGGAATTAGAAAAACAAGATAAAATATTGTGTAAAGTAGGTAACCTTTCTTCTAATGACTTTTCTCACATTGTAAAGGAAACCGATAACATGTTTGCCTGTTCCATTCTTTCAATTAAAAATAAGTGCGTTAACATTCGTTATAATGAAAACGAACTTTATATTGTACCGCTAGTGAACAACTTTGAGACTGATTAATTAGAACAATAAAATTTACGTATAAAATACTCACAAAGCTCAGGTATGATATTTAAAATGTACAAAATTAAAAACAATTATTTTGTAAAAGTTAGTCCGAAAAATTTCTGCCAGTTTTATAAATATTATGTATATTATTTGTTCTTGGTCTTGTCAAAATAAATAATTTATTTTTTTCAATCATATTGATTTATCTATTTCATTAATAATTTATAAATTATTTTTAAATATAAATAAAAAATAATATTAAAATTTTTTTTCCTTCTAATCGCGAATTTAGTATTTGATTTCCAATACTTTATCGAATACTTTATCGAATACTTATGCCAATACTTATGTCAATACTTGTTCCAATACTTATCCTAATACTTACCCTTATACTTATCCTAATACTTATTCTAATACTTTTTGCTATACTAATTCCAATACTCGTTCCAATACTCTTTTTTCATAAGGGTTGGAGAAAAATGAAAAAATATGGGGTTTCGAAAATTATTTAAATACACACTACATATACATTCACTGAAAATTTCGCATTGGTCCCGAAGCTATTTTCGAAGATAAAGTAAATTAAAAATTTCGTATTTTTTAGATATTGACATGGATTTTAAATCAATGTGAAGGTGGTTCACTGGTGACGACAAACTTCACATTGATTTAATACCTTTAAAACCCATGTCAATATAGCCTAAAAAATACGAAATTTTTAATTTACTTTATCTTCGAAAATAGCTTCGGGACCAATGCGAAATTTTCAGTGAATGTATATGTAGTGTGTATTTAAATAATTTTCGAAACCCCATATTTTTTCATTTTTCTCCAAGAAAGTTATTGACTTTCAAAAATAGTGAAAATAGACAAAGTAGCTATTTTATTTTTTAAATTTTTCATACTTATGAATAGAAAAGAAGAAAAGTGCAAAGAAATTCTAAAAGTTTATGGCAAGAACTTCATATTTGGTAAGTTTTTATTTAATTTAATGTTTTCTATTTTTTATAATTAATGAATAAAAATCGCAAAATTAGGTTATTTGACAGGTGCTCTTGGAAATCATATTTTATATATTACTGCACATCTTTAAATAATTATATCAATTGATAATGATAAATTTATTCATTCTTAGTAAATTCCAATAATTTTTTTTTATTTTTATGGTAAATTCTATGTTTTTTTGCATATTTTCTAATGGCTAAAAAATTGACAGTTTTTAGCACCTCATATACTTTAAATTCATATTTTACAATAAATATTTAAATTTTTAATAAAATTCTTTTCATTTCGTGATCTTGATAACTTCAAAATCATTCCTGCAAAGTATTATAATTTTTAAAAATTAGTCAGCGACCACTTTAGTTGAAATATAATGGTTTGACCCTATAAGTAAAAATTTAAGAAAAATATATCAGCTTAATTTTTATTATTTTAACAAAATTCTAAAGTTTTTTTTATAAATAAAGAAAAAAATTGCATATTTTCTATTTAATGAATGTTTAAAATTTGTAACTCTTTTCAAATCTTGGCGCGCGTTCCGCTGTTCCGTGTGTGGTCGGTATAATAGAGTTCTTGTCACTTTTAAGAAAACTGTTATTTTTTAATTAAATTGCAATTATTATGAAATGTGATTGTTAAATAATAAAATAATTTAATAAAATTTGCAATTTCTATTAAATATAAATTATTTTTTCACACATTTTACACTAATTTCTGAAAATATTATGAAAACTGACAACGAGTTAAAATCTACAGTTACCACTTGCACATATCAAGTAATTATTTATTATTTATCACGTTAATAATTAAAATTCTTACAAAAATTAACTCTATGAATGTTCATTTTACCTCACAATACTAATTTTTATAAATTTTCATCAATTTAAAGCTTTTTTTTGATAATTACCTAAATTCGACTTAGATTCGACTTAGATTCGACCCAGCTGGGTCGATTTTAGGTAAATCGAATCCGCCAGGGTGCCTGGATTTATTCAATGTTTCTTGATTTTTTTCGTTCTCGGTTTCAACATTCGACATTTCATAATGATAGAAATCTAATTTTTCTGCTACCTCTTGTAGGGTCTCTGAAAATCAGTCTCTAAATAATATTTATGCCAAAACCTATTTCGACTGAAGTCTTTGCAGCCGAATTTGAAAAAAATAATGCTTTTAGAAATTATTCTTTGTGATATATGTGTAATGAAATAAAATGAATAAAGGATGTTTGAAATAATTATTAATAATTATAAATCACATTGAATGATAAAGAAATTCATGAATTATTTTTGTACTTTATAAAATTTGAAATAAGTAATTTTATACTAAAAAAAGTTGAAAAAATTGCACAATCTGATCTCTGAGAATATAATATAAATTTTTTAAAAATTCTTCAAGTAGAAGGGTACATGAAATGTTTATGATTAATTCATGGTTATCAAGGCATAACTAAATTTACGTCATATTTTCGGTTCTCAAGAATTTAATGTTTTTAAATGTGGGTTGGGAAATACTTTGTTGAAGAAGGGTTTTGTTATCAAATCTAACACTTACCACAAAAACTTTCATTCGATACACTTCGAGCAAAATATTAATTCCAAATCGGTCCACAACAGAAGCAACGATCTTATCCAGTCCCCAAGAATTATTTAAATTTCTGTAAAATAAATTGATAAAACTTTAATTTAAAACTTTTAACCAAAAGTTGATAATTTGCATTAATTGATGAAAATAAATAATACCTTGTGGCAAAAGAAGGTGATCTCCTTCCAAATTGACAGAAAAGTCGTAGAAAGCGTCGCAGTATTTGGCGCCAATATGAAATCTCACAGAGACCAATTCGGAACCACTATCACTCTTCTCTCGTTCGATACTGGTGCAAATTCAAGCTGAATAGAAAGATTTTTTGAAGTCCTTTCGAATACTTTGAATGTTAAAGAGTAAAATTATCTCAATTATTCTCATCGATTGCAAGTTTTTCCAAATCTGCCTCGAGATCGTAGATTTGATATATTGTCGTCACTTTTATTAATGTCATCTCATCAGGGAATGCAATTATGCGCACTTCTGTCAAACACCTCCGCCGAGAAGTCCCAAAAATCAGCGGAATAATTAAATCGAAATTATGGTAAAATTTCTTTTTGTAGAAGGTCTATTACACAATCATTGCTCGACCAGTCTTGACATATACTTTAATAAAGCTCCAGCTTTAACGGACAAATCTTATTTAACATGATTTATTAGAATAGGATTCCTGTTATGTCCTTCTTAATATCACAGGAAATGAGTTTCTTCACACGGATGAGATTTCTAGTTTTTTTTTAAATTTGATTTTTGTATGAACAAAACTTTGCCAATGAGAACTATGTATTAGATGCCTCAATGGGGAATTTTTCTATAAACAATCTATTCATTTTTCTTCTTTTGCATGCAGTAATGGGATCACCACATCACCTTCAGAAACAGGAATTCTCCATGCCTTCGATAAAACTTCAATCAATGGTACACAATATCGTTCACCTTCGTTACTGGAATGTGTAATATATATATATATTTATAAGCCTTGAATCGGGACTGCTGTATAAGCTGCTCTTAAAGAAAAGCTTATAACCTATGAATCTAATGTCATCAACACCATATTTAATAATATTTTCAATTGTTAGGAACGATCCATCTTTTAGCAAGACACATCTATTTTTGTCATCCTTAGAGTTTATAAAAAATCCTTTATCTTCAAATACTGAGTATTGTTCGGGAACTTCAAATAAATTATTTTCTGTCAAGGGTCCATCACTGTGAGGCTGCTTTAAACTGAAATTATTGACTGAAGAACATTTATTCTGTAGTTTCTCCATTTCCGCGTATCGACGTGCAATCTGTTGCAATGGCTTGTCACCTTTTCTGAGCATTCTTTTCACCGTAGACATATAATTCTCGAAGCGAAAAGCGCTGAATTTCCCTAAATTCCCGTATCGCTTTACATCGTCACAGATGTGCAACAAATTGTGTACATTGTACGTAATGAACTCTATTCCATAAATTGTTCCAAAGTCTTGTACAAAGAATTGCAACATTTCATGGGCAGCATCAATGTTGTTTAGGTCACGAAGGTGGTTGTCACTTACTAATATGGACTGTTTCTTTAGACGATTCAGAATCTTGATATTTTTTTGCCAAAAAGTCTTTGTCGTTTTTTAACACAAAAGGTCCCTTTCCAGGGAAGCAAACTTTCCCTTTCTTCTTTTTCCCTGTTTTTGAAACTGGTGGTCTGTAGCATTCTCCCTCTATTTGACACTTAGAACAGCAGTTATATCCAGTATGACCTTTTAGATATAAAATGAAGGATTTTGCAGGAGCGTCGCAAACTACAGCATCTATTGTTACCTTAATATTCTTAAATCCATTATTACAAATAGCGATTGCTTCTTGTAAAAGTGGGTTAATAAATTCGTTAGCATCCAATGGTTTCTTCATTCCATAGAAGGCACCAACAGGGTAAACAGTTTTTGAATTTATTTCAGAAAGAAGAAGCAGCCAAAAAGAGTTAGTTCCACTTTTTTAAATTGGAAGGCCATCCACATTTAACACTAACCTCAAATTATCATCAATAATTCCTTCACGCCTTTTTTCAAGAAGAATGTTGCTAATTGCTCTCTCAAATCCAAAGTGATAGTATGATCCACCACACATTTCGACAATTTCAGTTTTCCTAAGCGTCCCCAGTAGAGTTCGTGCATCCATTGGCAAGGTGGCATCGAAATATGTTCTGAGTAGAAGTAATAAAGCAGAAATGGCAATTAAGGTTATATGAAATCGTAATGCCCATTTACGTAGGTTTATTGAAAATTGATTTTTGTTTTTATTCGTTTTATCGTTATAATAGAAATCAGCACTTTCAGTGTCTTCTTCTACAGTGTCATCTTCCTCCGTATCTTCGTTATCAAAAAAATCATTCAACTTTCTCGCGTCCTCATTCCAAGTAATTTCAAAATCCGATTCAGATGAATCATCATCATAAGAATTGTTAGTTAAAATGTAATCCTTAGTTGCTTTAGTCTCCATTTTGAAAGATTTATCATCAAAATAATTGTCACTTAGAATGTAATTATCAGTTGCATTGGTCTCGATTTCGACAGATTTGTTTTCAGGATGTGAAGTCTTTGAATTTTCTTCGTTGCACGTGAACATAGAGGAAGATGCTTAAGCCAACTATGTTTAATGAAGGTCGGTCATGGTTGAAATTATGTGAATCCATATTGGACGGAATCAGTGATACATCTGAGACTCCTGCATCACTGTTTTCGAGGACTCTTAATGAATCAATTTTAGATTGTAAAAACTTTCGATCTTTTAGCGAGCGTTGTTGAACAATTTGTCGCACACGGCGAGTTGTTATGTTACCTATTGTTGTTCTCTTCTTTGTAATTTTCCCCATAATTACTGAAATGCGTTTGAGACAATATTAATTTTTTTTATTTATTACGAGCACATCATGTCACATTCGACTGGTGAATCGTATATGTATTTACATATAATTGTGTGAGTTTCCAGAAAAAGTAAAATTTTTTTTTAATTTTCAATTTTTTACCACAATACTTTATATATGGGTATAACGACACCCGTAATATATGAACCTAATAATATATACCTAATTAATTTTGTTTTCAAGGTTATTTTCAAATACATACTATAATTAAAATTGATGCATTTGTCAAAAATTACGTTCCAAATTTTTTTCTATAAATGATAAACATTTTGTTTTCTGCAGCTTTACTTATAGAAAAATTAAAAAATGCTATTTAATAAATTTGTTGGTAAAATATTTAATTTTCTTCCTGAGTGACAAATACTTTGAATAATGTTTTCCTTTCAGTCTGTAAAATAATCTTTTAAACATTTTTTTATCTAGACCGATAAATTAGTTAATCCGATTGATACCATTTGAAATTTTCAAAATTCCCGCCAAACAATTGTGTATGCAATGCAACAGATAGAACACGATTGAGAACGATTGCATAAATTAAAAAGTCACTCGTTGCCAATTGTAAGAGTACGATTAAGAAACACGATTGGTGACAATATAAATTTTTGTCCAATTGTTTTCAATAGATTTTTTCTAGAAGGGAATAGAATGAAAGTTTATTATACACCATCGATTTAAAAATTATTGTCTAATAAAAAAACGTCACTGAATGAGAATGAAATGCTAAAAAACTTTTGTTTTAATCAATATTGAGATATGCAAAACTGAACTGTATATTGTTTCGTTTTTATTTGGATATTTAAACAAAATTCAACTTTATTCAGTTTTGATTCAGATATCGGAATTTCATTGATGTTTCGATAAAATGAAAAAAAATGGTAATCTTAATACAGTAGAACCTTGATTATCCGGATTTTCGATTATCCGAACAAATTTTTCGTTATTTTTTTTTTAGATTTGAGGCATTCAATACGATAAATTGACGTAATTTCATATTTTACATTCATAAGAAATATTGTCGTTTTATGTATTTGAAGATTTTTAAAAAATGTTTATGTGAATCATTTTAATTATTTTTAAACAAAAAATTTATTTATATTGACTTTAAGAGTTTTAATTTTGTATAAGTCAGTTTTATGTAAATAAATACTTAAATAATTACTTTATGAATCGAAAATTCGTTTATTTTATCATTTATCCGATTAACCGGATTTTTGATTATCCGAACACATGCCTGCATCCATTGGTCCGGATAATCGAGGTTCTACTGTACATATTTAATAAAATAATAAAATAAAATGTAAAAATAAAGGGTGGTAATATTAATACGTTTTCTCTCAAGCAAAAAATATATCTTTGAAAAATAATAAAACAATAAGCAAAAATATCTTACGCGTTTTGCTTATATATTTTTTATGTCAATAGATATTTTATTATCATTATTAACATTTTAATTTTATTATAAAACCGAAACAAAATTTGTCAGTTTTTCATTTATTTACGGAAAATAGAATTTTTTAGAGAATCGTGATTGAAAAATAAAAACAATGCAAAATTTTCAATTGTTCAAAAAAATACCTAATATTTTATTAAAAAATTGTGATTTAAAAATATAAATTTTTTGCACTGAAAAAATGTTAGTCGAAATTTTTTTTACTACTTCTTATATACTACTAAAATAATAGTTCAGTTGATTGAAATACCTAGTTAAATTTCAAAAACAACTAAAAAATCTTGCACTAACTTCGTTCTCAGTTCTTTCGACTAATTTTCAATAGTCAATCTTTTAAATTCAGGTGAGGACTTATTACATATTTAGAGATGTTGAAAAGTATCAGGATCTCATAAAACATATTTCTATATAGAAAAGAATTTGTTTTAACAAGTTTGTCAAATATTTTATAAATGAAAAAACAACAAAATTTCTCCACGAGAAAGCAAAAACAAAAGTCATTCACGAAAGACTAACTTCAAAATATAGACAGAATGAATGAAAGAATTTTATATAATAATAATAATAATTATTATTATTATAGTTAGGGGGCGTCCATAAAGTACGTAAAACTTTGAGGAGGAATACAGTATTTCTTACTTTCAATAGATAAAATGGCGCTAATTTATGTAAAATATCTTACAGAGATGGAGGGGTGGGGTCAGAAATTTAAAAAAAATTTTTAAGTAATTTGTGGACGGCCTCTTAAATATTTAGTTAAATTAAATTGAAAATTCATTATCAGATTCGAAAGTCAATTTTGTTTAATTTTTATTCTAATAATGTTAGAATGCAAAGTCCACTATTGGTTCAATTATTATTGTAATTCAAACATTAAATTTAAAAGTTATTATGAAAACTTATTTTATTCCATTATGTATTTGATTAGAATCAATTTTGAATCAAGTAAAGACTCGCATTTTATAATTAGTGTAATTAAAAATGAGATTAACTTAACTTTTTGTTTAACATTTTTATTTAAATAAGGGTAATTGAATGTAATTTGTATTAGACTTATTCGTTATTTGTTACCAAATCAGAATTAAAATTATATTTGACCTTTGCTTCTGTAAGGAAATCGAAACACTTGTTTCGTTATCGAATAAGAATCAAAATATATTCGCAGTAATTCTGTTTTGTTTACACATATCGTAACAGAATCAAAACTCGACTTTCGTGAAATTCTTTTTAATAATTATAAATCTGAATTTCAACTGTTTCTGATAAAGAATATCTAATTAAAAATTCTTGATGAATTGTGTCTACTCAGTCTATGTTTAATAATCTTAACAATTCCAAAGAATAAAATATATACATGTTGTTTAATTGACCAGCCGGATGAGACATGATAAATATTTTTTTTTAAACTGATTTACATTCAAAAATATTTCTTTCTTTTAGGAATTTTGTAATTAATTTTTTTATCTGGTTCTCAAAAAATTGTATGAATGTAATAGATTTCTAAACATGCATTCTTTAATCGAAAATAAGATTTGTGTATTATTAAATAATAATTTTGTAAATCAAATGGGCCAAAAGATTTTTTCTGCATAAATCAAAGATGATACTTACTTATGAAATGTTGCAAATTTTAAAAATCACAAATTTTAAATAGATGAAATTGAGGTTAGAAACACCCAGATGAGCCTGTTTTTCTGTCCGACTTTTCAAAATTGAAGATTCATAAGTATCATCATAATTCATATAATATACTGTCTTGGAAATCACGAATATTTTTACTTCACTTAATACACCTGCATTAACTATCAATGAACAACGATAAAAGGCACTATAAAACAATCATGGGAGCACGAGGCAATAGCACATGAGCGATATGAAAGAAAATTTTTTGCATCTTTCTCTGTCTGTTGCGCAACTATGACGCGCAGCTACATCGTCTTGGAATTTTACAATATTTAAATTTTTCACTTTATTTATTTTACGTGTTAATGGTTAATTCAAGAGAAATAGAAAATATATTTCTAATCCAGGCTGATTTTACACTTTTATTTGTAAAGGGATTAGCTAAATCTTGTTAGTGAGTGCTACTATTTATACTGCGGAAATTACGTCAAAATTTTTCCACATTGAATGACGTGATTTTCGCAGTATGAATAACAGCACTGACTAACAAGATTTTGTAAACCCCTATACAAATAAAAGTGCAAAATCTCCGTGGATTGGAAATATATTTTCTATTTTTCGAGAACTAATCGTTGAAACATAAAATAAATGAAGTGAACAATTTAAATATCATAGAATTCAAAGACGATATAGCTGCGCGACAAAGTTGCGCAATAGGCAGAGAAAAATGCCAAAGGAATTTGACTCCTGTTGTTGTATGTTTCCAATATGCTTTTGCCTCGTGCTCTCGTGTTTGTTTTATAGTGTCTGTTTTAGTTGTTCATTGACGGTTAATGAAGCTTTTATTTGGTTTGTAAGTATAATTTAAGTTGTGTATTATATTATATATTTAATTGTGTAAGTATATGATTATATATAATGGAATCTAGAAACGCCGGCCGGCGAGAAGCGTGTTTAACACGTGTTGGTTTTAATCTCAATTTTATCTATTAATTAACATATAAACTTTAAATCTGCATCAGTACAAAATTTCTTTAATTATATCTTAATTATTTTATATTCTGATTTTAATTTGTACAAATTTTGTTTTAGAATAAATATGTAATATAATTTTTTTCTATAATTATATAAAAATGTAGTCAAGAAAATTTTACAGTAATTAATGATTTTAAGAAATAAAATGTTGATATCTGAAAACAATTTTAATAAAATTATTATTTTTCGTTATGAATATTAAGTATAACAGTACATCCCACCTTAAGCAATAAAACGTTTTGTTAATTCGTTTCAGAATCTTAAATTTTTCAATTAAATAACTTTCTTGACATTTTCTTACTATTTTTCGAGAATTCGACTTGTTTATTTATTTTAATATTTCTTCTATCTCGAAATTGATCCAAAATTTTCAAGTTATTTATTTCCAAATAAAATTTTTAGAATTTTTCATCCAATTAAAATTATTGGTTGCTTTTTAAAAATTTAATTAATATGATAAAAATATTATGATAATAATTAATGTTTTGTGTAAAATTAAAAAATTAATTTTCAAAAAGTTCGTATTATTTTTATTAAAATTAATAAGAATTTTAAAATGACACTTTCCATAAAATTCGGTTTTCAAAATTTAGTGATTCGGGCAAATTTTCTTGTTTCTTTGCCAGAATAAGCATTTCTAAACTCTAATTGTATCTTTACAATTAATTTCTTCTTCATTCCGATGTATTTTTAAGATATTTAATATTACAAAAGAAATGTTTAATATTATTTTCAGTCCAATTAGCTTGTGATTTGGTTTTCTCATTGCCAGTGAAATTAATAATTTGTTGGCGAAAATACATAGTACGGCAGTTTTTTATAATATAATATAATAATATAATCATTACTCTTCGACTTAGTCCTTCCAGTCCGATATTAATACTTCCATAAATTATTATATTTGATAATGAAATGAAATAAGAAGAAAATTTATATCATAAAATACAATGTTGTCCATTATTTAAAAAATAAATGTTAAAAATTTAATGTCAAATTCATCAAATATCATTTTATATTTTTTCTTGAAATTATCGAAATAATCTGATATCTTTGTCTTTTTTTTTTAAACAATAGCTTATTCTGCTTTGTACGACATTCTTTGCAATTCTGCAATACTAATTTTTATTGTGAATATTTTCTTCAAATTACATTGAGTTTCCACTCCAACATTCTTATATTAAATTTTAAATTTTTTATATTTATGTCAAACATCCTTAATTCATTTTATTTCATTACCCAGATATCACCAAGAATAATTTCTAAAAGTATTATTTTTGTCAAATTTGGCTGCAAAGACTTAAGTCGAAATATGTTTTGGCATAAATATTATTTACAGACCGATTTTCAGAGACCCTACAGGAGGCGGAAGAAAAATTAGAATTCTATCATTATGAAATGTCGAATGTTGAAATCGACAACGAAAAAAATCAGGAAACATTGAAAAAATCCAGGCACAGCAGAAATATTAAAAAGGAGACCAGTGATTCAGAAGACACAGAAAAAAAGAATTATATTTTTAAACAAAAATTTAATTCTTCGATTCCAGTAAAATGTGGAAATAATAGTAATAATTTTCTTATTACTTTATTACTATTCTTTATTTCTTATTTAATAAAATATATTTACAGATTATAATGAAGAAGTGGTTCACTCTACATTAAATGATGGAGAAATCAATAACAAAGGTAATAATTGTTATTTATATACTCATGTATTGATTTAATTGATTATTGAATACAGTTTAAAATATAGTTACAGATTTTAACAAATCAACGGATGACTCATCATTAGTTACAAACAAATCAATTGGCAAGACTGTTCCGATTATTCCTGAGAGTGCTACAGATGACTCGACATTAACGAATTGTAAATCAAATGCTCAACAGCAAGTAATTCCTGGTAGCGACATGGAATCTAACAGCGGGAAAACTAAAACACAGAAAAGATCATATGCAACTGCATTTTCGACTCTAGACCAAAATTTAGGAGAACGTAAGTTGATATATATCATATGCGTTAGGCTCAAAGATTTTTTCAGGGTTACCGCAAGTCGGGGGAATCAGGGAATTTACGTAAGAGAAAATTAAATTGGTCAGAAAAATAATATTTTTAAATCGAATTAATTTTATTTTAAACTAAAATTCTTAATAATTTAAATCGCTGTGAAGAAATTGATAATTATTATATATTCATTTCAAAAATTATTCAAATTTCAAGTAATTCTATTCATAAATCTGAAAAAATTGAGATTCTAAGAAATTTCCATTTATTTGTTAAAATTAAGAAAAAAATTACCAAATTAATTGAAATTTTATTACAATTTATTAAAAAATTATCAAATTAATTGATATATTGTTATTAATTTTATAACTGTTAATAAATTGAATAGGGTTTTACAGAAAGTAACAATAACATGTAAAAAGCAGCACTAAAGGTTCTAAATTATATGTAAAATATTTTAAATACGAATTAGTTGCAATTATAATTTTTTATAATTAGACAATTTTGAAAAGATTGAATTTCACACTTTAATACTTGATTTTTCAACTAAATTTATTTCGAAATATTTTTATTACTAAGGTATTTGGAAAGTTTTTCATTTTCTCTGTATGGGAAACGTTCTTAATAGTTGATATTGCAATTTTTATTATCATTATGGATTGAGAGAAATCAGGACAATTAGAAAAATTAAAATTTGTAGGGAAAACTCAAGGGAATGGTATTAATTTATTCGTTCAACCATTGTTATCAGTAGGTAGTCAGTTAGCTAAATTTTATCAGTTGTAAAGAAAGCATAATATATTTCTATGAATGTAACGAAAATGTTTTTATCACAAAATAGATACAGAAAGTTTTATAAATAAAAAAAAACTCATTTTCACAAATTTTCATATAAATATAATAAATATAACAAAGTAAATAAACAAACTGGAGGACCTTAAAAATAAACTTTCTTACTTTCAGTAACCCCATATGAAGATGTCATATTAAATAAACTAAATAGAATAGGAACGACAACAGAACTTATGAGTCGCCAATTACAAAATATACCTCAAATTAACGCCAACGGTTTTCCAATTCATTCATTTTCTCATAAAAATAAGGACTTGCAAATATTTCCAATTGACGACGAAGAAACTTTCAAAAAAGTCGATAGAAAACTTGCTCCAGAAACAGAGTATTTCACAAAAGTGGTAGGTATAATATATTTTTTATTTAAAAAATGTTGTCTAATGTCAGAATTCTCATTAAGAATTATTTTTAACAATAATATTTGCAATATGCGATATGATTCTAAAGTATAATTTTGTATTTAATTGTTTGCCAGTTTTATTTATAAAAACTAGTCAATTTTGTAAGCATTAACAAAAAGTAACATTTATCTTTTTAAAAATTTAAGCCAATTAAATTTATTTTATTCTGTACATGTTTGTACCTTTTCAATGTGTTATCTAAAATTAGAGAGGTTGTTACAATGATCACAAAAAAACTTTTAAATTATAAATTCATTTTTAAAATTAAGAATATTGTTTATAAATGTTAAGTATAAAAAAACAAACCTTTGGAATGCAAAGCTAAATAAAAGCATAAAAAATCTTTAACAGCGTAATTGACAAAAGTGTATTAAAATTTCATTTTAAGTACTTGAAATATAAATATATTTTGACTTTGCCATTATTACCACTAATAAAGTTCTTAACTTTTTGCAGTTCACTGCCTTAAAAGCTGTTGGAAAATATTCAAATTCCAGTCTAACTGTCAACGCTGTAATGAAGGAAATTTTTACTCTGAACATGGGCGATAAATTTTGCTTAACCGGCAAAAATAAAAATCAGTTCGTTTTTAGAGACACGATTATATACAAAGTTGTTTCACGTAAGTAGTATTTCAATTATTTTATTTTGTAATTTAAAATTTTAAGAAATTTCAAATTAAATCATTTTTCTAAATTTCGATTAATAAAGATTTTATCAGGCCTCGGATAACGTGACTGTTTTCGACATATTTTCGAAAACTGATACATTTTGATTTCTACATTATATAACTACCGTATATACGATTTATAAGTATAGTCAAATCATTCAAAAATTATTTTCGTATGATTTTCTTTAGATAATTAAATTTTTTAAATAACTATATGTATATACTTAATTCAAAAATTTTAAAATAATTTAAATTTCGTAAAATTTTAATAAAAATAACAGATTTCTTCAGTGTTTCAATTAAATTTTTGAAATATATAATTGGAAAAATTTTGATTAATTTGAATTTTCTAAAATTGAAATGAATATATATTACAAGTATTTCATTAAAATTTATAAAAAACAAGTTTTGGAAATTTTCAATTGCAAATTTTGAAAATTAGTTTCATAAAATTGTTTTAGAATATTTTTTTGAAAAAGTAATTCCTTGAATCCTCTCATTATTTTTTTTTTAAATTTAATTAAAATTTCTTAGAATTTTTCCAAATTTTTAAAATGATTTTTCAAAAATGGATATGCTTTCAAATTGTCAAAAAATTCTTTTAATGAATACAATTATTTTCCATAATTTACAATGCAATATTTCTAAAATACTCATTCTCAGACCTATTTTAATATATTTTTTCAAGATTTAATTATTTTCAAACAAAGTAAATTGAATTTCTTTTAAAATTTACAGTTTTAGATTCATCATTAAAATGTTAAAGAAATCATATACTTTTACATTTGTGATTAAAATTATTATGCAAAAAGATAATTATATTTTTTATATTTTACAAAAAGTAAATTATTTTTACAAGATTTTACTATCTTTCTATTATTTGGAAATTTTTCTATTAAAATATAATTAAAAAATCTATTATCTTCAAAAAATTATTTTTAAATATTTTTAAAAACATAATTTTAAGAATTTTTGTAAAATAAATTATTTTAATATTTTTGGTTAGAAATGTTCAATAATTTACCTTAATAACTTCTCAAAAAAGAAATAATTAAAAAAAATAACATTTAGTTACAATTATTCTAAAAAATTAAATTTTTAAAGATTTTTCAGAAAATTATCAAAAGTAATTTATTTAAAGAAGAAATTTTTTTAAATATTGTAGAAAATAATTAAATTCTGGTTGAGTTACTGTTGTAATTTTTAAAGCTAATTACATATGTTTTATTTAACGAGACTCGAAGTTATAGATATCATCTTCATTATTGTTTAAAAAATGTTTCTAAATTATTTTCATTTTTAGAATCTCTCTTGCATATTTTACCAGAGGAGACCACGAAGAATAGAGATGATTTGATTGGAACATGGCTTTCAAATTGTAAAGGCCGTATTTTGAGAAAAGAAAAGGAAAAGTAATTGACATATTAATAATAATAATAATAATCATAATATTAAAACTTATTATTTCAGAAAACTTATTTACATATATTTTTTCTTACAGCAGAAAGTCAGCACCTGTGCGAATCCAATTATAAGTGAACAACAATTTTAAATATTTATCGAGGCAATGGAAGTTTCGTCGCCAGCTTTAAATTCTAATTCTATATTTCTATTATTGTATTATAATATTATATATATATATATATATATATATATGGGACGTTTCACGTCAACCGGCCCAAAGTTATGTCCAAAATTCTATGCAATAAAAATAAACATGTAATACATGAAAATACTCGTAAACTCATCCCCTTTCAATTGCAAAGTGGCAGAATTGAAAATTCAAAATGGCGTCCTTACTATGTCAAGTGGAAGCGGCTAACTTCAGAAATAAGTAAATATATTTATTAATTTCTTTTAGAAAATTATGCAAAAATTTTAGGTCACCACATATTTTAATGTTTTCGAGGTCGCTGATTACGAATCTGAAGTCAGTTTTTCAAAATTCAAAATGGCGCATCCAATATGGCGGCTTATTTTTTTAAAATAATTGAATTTGCTTGAAACTTGTTACTCGAAAGTTTTCGAGGTGGCTGATTACGAATCTGAAGTCAGTTTTTCAAAATTAAAAATGGCGGATCCAATGTGGCGGACGAATTTTTTAAAAAATCATTGAATTTGCTTGAAACTTGTTACTTGGGGGTTTTCGAGGTCGCTGATTACGAATCTGAAGTCAGTTTTTCAAAATTCAGAATGGCGGAATTAATATGGCGGACGAATCTTTAAAAATTGATTGAATTTGCTTGAAACTTTTTACTTGGGAGTTTTGGAAGTCGCTGATTATGAATCTGAAGTCCTAGCGTTCTGAGATGCCTGAGGTCTTCCTCAAACACAACTTTTCCTTAATTTTTCTTTACTCCCTGCTATGATTTAGAAGGATATTAGGTACAATATTTGTAGATAAAATTATTCACCTTGTTGCGAGTCAAAGAAACTGTATAAATCGAAACGAAGAAAACGAATAATCAAATAATGTGGCTGATTCAGTACATTTCATTATTAACTGATTAACTGAGTTTTAGTAACTTTTTAAATGCGGCTGTAATAATAATTTATTTTCATGAATGTTCATGTAAGTAGTAACAACATTTGAGCATCGTAAAAACATGGACGATATCTAAATTATAAAAGAGCTTATTCAGACTTCGTAAGATATGTTTTAGCGATTGTCATTTTTTTCACGATGTTCAAATGTTTTTATTAAACCCTCAGTGTGTCAACTGTAAAGGATCATGTGATGGCATAGGAGCTATTTTAAAGAGAGAAGCCACTCGTGCTAGCTTGCAATCCTCACCAGACAAAGCCATTTTAAATGCAGAGACTCTTTACCAATGGGCTAAGCAAAATATCAAGACTTCGCAGATTTTCTTTTACAACAAGCAACAACACGAGAGAGTGAAACGAAAACTTGCTAGTAGACTTTCTAGAGCATCTAGTGTTACAAAAATTCAATCTGCTCATTCTTTTATTGCAACATCACAAAAACAATTAAAAATATTCAAATACACCTCATCCTATTGCAGTTATGCAATATTCAAATATAATTACATTGGTTTGGATGTATTTTGAAAATTTAATTCAAACGGCCTTTTTTAAGGCCACCAAAAAATTATGGTTTAAAAATTACAACAATCAGCCTTTTTCAAGGCTACCACATTCTTACAGTTCATAATTATAACAATCGTCCTTTTTAAAGGCCACAAAGTAATTATATTGGATGTGCCATTTTTAATTTTGAAAAACTGACTTCAGATTCGTAATCAGCGACCTCGGAAACCCCCGAGTAACAAGTTTCAATCAAATTCAATGAATTTAAAAAAAAAATTCGCCATATTGGATCCGACATTTTTAATTTTGAAAAACTGACTTCAGATTCGTAATCAGTGACCTCGAAAATCCCCGAGTAACAAGTTTCAAACAAATTTAATTAATTTTTAAAAAATAATCCGCCATATTGGATCCGCCATTTTGAATTTTGAAAAACTGACTTCAGATTCGTAATCAGCCACCTCGAAAACCTCCGAGTAACAAGTTTCAAGCAAATTCAATTATTTTAAAAAAATAAGCCGCCATATTGGATGCGCCATTTTGAATTTTGAAAAACTGACTTCAGATTCGTAATCAGCGACCTCGAAAACATTAAAATATGTGGTGACCTAAAATTTTTGCATAATTTTCTAAAAGAAATTAATAAATATATTTACTTATTTCTGAAGTTAGCCGCTTCCACTTGACATAGTAAGGACGCCATTTTGAATTTTCAATTCTGCCACTTTGCAATTGAAAGGGGATGAGTTTACGAGTATTTTCATGTATTACATGTTTATTTTTATTGCATAGAATTTTGGACATAACTTTGGGCCGGTTGACGTGAAACGTCCCATATATATATATATATATATATATATATATATATATATATATATATATATAATATTATATTAAAAATTTTATATTTTTGAAAAATATTTTTAAATTTCAAGAAATTTCAAATTAAATCATTTTTCTAAATTTAGAAACATTAATCACATGTTATTTATAAATTTTCTGATATTAAACATTATACGAAGAAAGGAATGGCATATTATATCAATTCTCAGAATTTGCAAATTATTTTTAAATCTTTATTTGAAATTTGGAATTAGAATTTGAAGTTAGAGACGAAACCTCCATTGCACTAATAAATATTTAAAAGTGTCGTTTATTTAATTAACTTATAATTAAAAAATAAATCTAAATTAATCTAAATTTAGAAAAATAATTTAATTTGAAATTTCTTGAAATTTTAAATTACAACATAAAATAATTGAAAGGATTTCCTAAATTAAATTCTTGCAATATAAATATATATATATATATATATATTATTAGATCAAGAATATCTTACACTTAGCATGTTATTAATGATTTTATGTTTTATAAAATTGTTTTAATTTAAATAAAGATATTTACAATTAGTTCTCTGTCTTACTTATAATATTATTTTATCATAACATAATTTATTGCAATATTTCTAAAATATGCTGCATTATTCGCTACCAGATTTAAAAAATAGCTTACCTCAGCCTTTACGTGTAAGCTTATTTTAAGTTTTACAGGTAAGCTTACCTCAAGTTGTACATGTAAGGTTATCTCAACCTTTACGTGTAAGGTTACCATGACCTTTACATGTAAGGTTATCTCAACCTTTACGTGTAAGGTTATCATGACCTTTACATGTAAGGTTATCTCAACCTTTACGTGTAAGGTTATCATGACCTTTACATGTAAGGTTACCATGGCCTTATCATATATACTTACCACATCCCTTACATGTAACCTCACCTTCATGGCGGAAGTTTTGAGTTCACCTTAAGTCCATCTTACAAGCTATACCATTAGCCCACAACATAACCTTACTTCATAGTATTGTGCTATGTGGGAACTTATACAGGTAATTATATAACTTTAGACGAGCTTGTGCAGCTGTGTATGCTGCAATAACAAACACTTGTGTTTGGAGCAGGTGTTATTGCTTCGGACCTTTTGACCCAACAGACGTAGACAATATCATCATTTACAGGTACAATGTCATTGATCTCAACCTCAAGGTTATGAAGCAAACGTAATAATTCATCCTGTGTTTCTACAATTGTATTTTGTGGTAAATTATCACGTTGACCGAATTTACCCCAGAAAGAATTAAGACAAAGTTTTGAAGCAGAACGTAACCCTGCATTTTTATGAATTTTAATAGAGTCCAATTTTATCCCTTCTTCCTGTTCATATTTTTGAATATAATCAAGTATAGATTGTTTATCTGTACAATATGACGGCTTCTTGTTTAATCTTTAAAAAGTTATTTATATAAGAAACAAACAAATCTCTTTCACGAGTAGTTGGATCATATTGTACAATATTGTATTGCTAAATTTCATAATTTTTTACTATTTTGTAACCAAGATTTACTGATGCTTTTAATTCTTCAGAAACCAAAGTTCCTTCAAGTACACGTGATGACTCATCTTCATGAGTGCAATCACTCGATTGAAGAGTTTCACAGCATGTACGACAAAGAGGGAAGATTAGTTTTTGATGTTGTCGATCTGGAAGAAGTGGATGGTAAAAATCACGCGGAGGTAAAAGTTGACAGAGTACTAAACCTTCTACATTGGTAATGTCATACTCAGCTCCAGTGAGTTGTTTACATTCTTCTTCACCAATGTATAACTTTGGATGTCCAACAGAAAATTTACCTGTTTTACACATATACGGATATAAAGAACAAACGTCTTTATATTCAATTTTTTCATCTTCTTTAATCTCATAAAAAGATTTGGTATTTCCTGTACGACCTCCGTAGAAAGCATCTCGAGGGTTTAGTACTTTATTATTTTTTAAAGTAGGGTGATTTTTAAAAAAATTTTCTAACACTGCATTATTTGATTTTTCCCTATCAAACTGACAATCCCAAATCTCAATGACCTTATACCCGTTACGTTTAATTTTATCTCGAATTGCGATAGTATAACCTCTTCTTGGAATAATACCTATTGTGTTTTCTTGTGAACACATTTTTCTGTAGTATCTATTACAAGCAGAGGCTGTAGTTTAAGCCTCACAAAAAGGACATACATTTCCATACTCAATTAACATTTTAAGAAATGCAACACATGCACATCGTAAAATATCCACATTGTTTTTACAGTAAGAAATTAATTCATCCTAAAAATTAAAAACATATGCAGGGTTTGATTTTTTTATCATTGTACCATTTACAAAATTCTTTTTGCTTACTTTCTAACATTGTATTAGGCGAATAAAATTTAATATCTGGTAAAGGACGTGAATAGCTTTCATTTTCAGGTGTATTAAATAAATAAGGAAATGTATCCTTTTTTCTCCTACTCCCACTATACCAAAAGACGCCGGTAAAGCTGATAAGGGTAAGTGGAAGTAATTGAGACTTACTATGAAAGTAGTGTGAGCTACAGTCATAGAAATGCTTTTTGTCTGTGTTTAAATAAGCTCGGGTTTTTTTTCCTACAAGCTTCATGATTCACAAGGTTATTTAAAATAAATTGAGCATCATAACTACGTAATTTGTGGGCGATGCAAATAATTTTTATAAATTTTTTGGTACGACGTAATGTAAAA